AGAGAGTTTCTCTGTGTAAAGTCTTAGCTGTCTTGGAACTAGCTCTTGTAGGCCAGGCTTGCCTTAAACTCAGAGAGATCCGCCTGCCTCTGCCTCTCGAGTGCTGGGATTAAAGTGTGCGCCAGCACCTCAGGCTTAAGGTATATTTCTTTATTAGCCTGCTGTACCACACTTAGGCTCTCTTTGGGAAAATCAGATGGGAAAATCAGATAAATTAGATCAACTATCACAGGATGGGAAAATCAGATAAATCAGATCAATCTCTCACTTCAAAGTAAGCTGTGGCTGGTGGTTCTCCAGCTGGAGCACCACACCCCACCTCTGTGAATGTGAAATGCTGATTCCTGTCTTATGATACTCTCTGCTGTGTCACAGATGTTTGCTGCTGTGTTCCATGCTGGTTTTGAACTTGGTATGCACCAAGGACGAACATGAGCTCCTGCTCTGGAGGGGCCATGCTGAAGTTTACAGGCTCTACTCGCCTGGCTCATCAAAGCAACCTTTTTTTTTAATTAATGAAAATTAGGTTTACTGATGTATTTTTTGTGTGCTTGCACCCATACATACATACATACATACATACACAAGGGCGCGTAAGTCCAAACATGCTACAACATGCATATGTGTCGAGTTCACCAATGACTTGCAGAGCTGTTCTCTCCTTTCACCATGTGGATTCTGGGACAGAACTCAGGGTGTTGGGGTTGGCAGCAAGTGTCCTTATCCAGAGTCATCTCCCCAGCCCCAGAGCTGTTTTGAATAATGTTATTCTACAATGCTTTTCTCTCCAGATGATGGATGAGAAGCCAAGAAAACAATGCCAAGTACCATACCAGGAACTGATTTAAAAGTCCTGATTAAGACTGGCGGCTACTTTCTGCACAGTCCACAAGGGCACTGTCAGCAGCCCTGGGGCATGTTAGGATAGAGCAATCACAGCTATCTTTGACACAGGATCTAAGTTGCCTGGCAGATGCCAGTGAAAGGCAACGTACTGTTTTCAGAGAAAATTGTATTGCTATGACATTTACCTGAAACTTTAAAAGTACTCCCCGGAAACCCAAGCCACACTGCTTTCCTGTCACTTCAAGGCCCCCCATAAGATGGTGCTCTGCTTAGCCCATGACAAGACTAGCTAAGCATTGCAACAACCACTAAGGGCTTCTGAATTAAAGCCCTCAGTCCGAGTATGTATCACAACAATTATTACTATGCCATAAAATAATATGCCGGTTATCTTTTAAACTGGGCATGTTGGTACACATCGTTAATCCCAGCACTTAAAGAGCAGACACAAGCGAATCTCAATAAATTCCCAGCCAGTGGGGCCTACCAAGTGACTGGTAGGCTCTCACAAGGTAGCCCAGGCCGGCCTGGAACTAGCCATGTTTCCCAGATTTGTCCCAAATTTGTGATCCCCCTGTCTATACTCCACAAGTGCTACAATTCTGTAATTCTGTGTGTGCTAGAACATCTGGCTTGCCATTCTTTAAAAAATCTTTTTTTTTCTTTTAAAACACATATGCAATAAAATAAATGAATGATTATGGATGCCACTAAAACAAAAACACCAAAAATTCTTAAAGGGTTAGAGGATGTAGCTCAGTGGTAAAGCACTTGTCTAGCATGCACAAGGCACAGGGTTTCCCCACAATGCAGCCAAAGGGGAGGAAATGGAATCCAAACTCACCTAGAGGCTTGCTCTCTGCCGTTTGTTCAAGCTCCCTGAACGCACTGTATTTGTCACCAGACTCTACAACAGAGACAGAAACTCATTACAGTGAGGAACCCAGAGATCACAGACTGGGCTGAGCAAACATATTTAACACGTGGAACAGCACCTGATACATTCAATAAAAAACCTGCCACTTAAAGATTTATACAATTTAATTAAAAGTTACAGCCACAGATTTATCAACTGATAAACTGCTTTTACCTCCAAATGAAGCCAGGCTTTCAGAGGGCTTGTCAGCAGAAATTCCTTTAAACACCGAGTATTTATCTGTGGAGGCTTTAGTTCCAGGAAGTGGTATCAGCAGAGAAGGAGCACTATGAGGAAGGAGAGATGTCTGTTATCCAGCAGACCACCACATGGGGCGAAGTCACAGCTGGAGGTCAACAGTTCTCTGCCAATTCTTTTCTCTTCGTCCTCCCTCTCTCTCTCTCTCTCTCTCTCTCTCTCTCTCTCTCTCTCTCTCTCTCTCTCTCTCTTGTTTTTGTTTTTTTGAGACAGGGTTTCTCTGTGTACAGCCCTGGCTATCTTGAAACTTACTCTGCAGACCAGGTTGACTTCAAACCAGGCAATTCACCTGCTTCTGTCTTCCAAGTCTGGGATTAAAGACCTGTACCACCACTGACTGACTTCCTTTCTTTAAAAAAAAAAAAATGTTTTAAAATTACTCATGTGTATCACGCATAGTGGCACACATCTTGAATTCCAGCATTCAGGAGGCAGAGGCAGGCAGATCTCTGTATGTTCAAGGCCAGCTTGGTCTACATCCAGGACATCCAGAGCTACAGAGTGAGACCCTGTGTAAAAAACAAACAAATAAAATGAGTTATGTCTGTGTGTATGCTACGTGTGTTTAGGTAACAACAGCCCCAGGAGCTGTTGTTACAAGCAGATGTGGGCTGCCTGACATGGGTGCTGGGAATGGAACTTATCCTGGTGTTAGTTGTATTCATTCTGTGGGGCAGGAAGACTGCCTGTGGGAAAGACCACAGACAGAAACACAGAGAGAGCTAAGGAACCAACAACCCCAAAATGCAGGCTGACATCTGTGGGGATGGGTGCTGGGGACTCAGGGCTAGGCATTTTATGAGACACCTCCCAACCCCCCAGCCCTTCAGCTTTCTTAGCCTTTCACCCAGATGTTTGTCCCTGGCAGGCCTTTTCTTCTCTGCTGCCTTTGCCACAAGGAAGGAAGTGTTCCCAACTCCCCTTCACTATGGAAGAGCAGCATGTGCTCTTAACGGTTACCACTGAGTCATCTCTCCAGCCATTCCAACCATTAAAAAACAAACAAAAAACCCAAAACAGCTGGTGATAGTTCAGTAGATAAAGGTTCCATGTCAGAATCCACACGGTGGAAAGAGAGAAGTGACCCCCAAAAGTAGTCCTTTGACCTCCACATGCACACTGTGACCCCAAAAGTAGTCCTTTGGCCTCCACATGCACACTGTGACCCCAAAAGTAGTCCTCTGGCCTCCACATGCACACTGTGACCCCAAAAGTAGTCCTTTGGTCTCCACATGCACACTGTGGCACACAAGCACCCACCTGCCACCTCACAAAAACTAAAGAATGTAATTTTTCTTTTTCAAAGGAGAGAGACTGTCTCATGTATCCTTCATGTAGTTGAGGAAGACACTGAATTCCTGACCTTCCTGCCTCTACCTCCTGAATGTTGGGACTATAGTAGTGTGATGGAGGATTGAGCCCAGGGCTGTGTATGTAGGCTGCCAACTAGGCCCTATAGTTCCAAAGGTTAGAAACTATATATAAACTCCACAAACAACTAAAAACAATGCCCTTTTCTTGAAAATAAACACTAACACTCAAGTAATATTTTTTTTTTTTGACTAAGGAGGGTGACATCTACACCAATGGTCTAATCGTCTGTTTAAACCATAAAAGCACTGAAAACAGATTAAAGAATGAGAACCTCCTGCCATTTCAACTTACAGTTCACAATAATTTAACAGTGAATTTCACCAAATATGTATGTTTAATACTTAAAGATAAATTACAACCTAAGACTTCTCTAAAATGGGTTCAGGTTGTAAAAGTCCATGTATAAAATGTTGTTCAAGCCGAGGTGTAAATTCTGCTTTGATCATTGTGTGGGAGTGCAGGCATCTGATAAGCAACCACAGAGGGAAGAGAACGCACATTTTTACCAGGATCACAACTGCGGTCCCAGACAGCTATCTTTGTAGCAAAACAACAATCACTTCAAAATTAGATTAAGATAGTTTTATCCGTGGACACACTCTTTTCATGGAAAAATAGTGTAATGAGTAGCATCTTCGTGGGCAATTCTTAGAAAGCTTAAACACTCTATAGAGCATTGCTTTTTTCCTCTTATCAGACCCAAGCAGTTCCCTGGAAGAACAACCTTTCCATATGAATGACTGCATTTCACCACCTGGTGTCATTCCACACCGCAGCACAAGATACAGAAATGGATTTCTATTGAGGTCTCTGCCCTGGAGCAAAAGTCTTTTCACGGCATTTAAATCTTCTTATCAGTGGCCCACAACCAAGGCGAAAACCAGGCTGTCCTGCACGCATGGCAATGGGGTCCACCGCGTCTCAAGACTTACAGGCATTGAATATTAAAATTTCACTTCACTGCCACACAGCAGCTGCTTTCTGATTTTAACAAATGTAATGGCTTATCATCTATACATGTAGGTGGATGCTTTCACAGTTTCATAAATAATTAAACTGTAGCTCAATGACCAGAATGTTACACAGGAATATAGGTAATTGCCCCGTATTTAAGGACAAAAAGCCCAGGAAGCTGGATGGCTTGCCTGCTTTTCGTAACCCTCCAATTTTAGCTATGGTCTTTTAAAGCTCAGTGGCAAAATCTTTCTACTAAATGTGACATTTAATTGAAAGTAATTAATTTTAAAATTATATTCACAGGATTGGACAAAAAGAGACCCTGCAGGGTAATGAAATAGCACTGATGAAAATCAACAGAACTCAGTTCCATTCGAGAAAGCTGACACACACTAATTATATGTGCACCACAAATCAGTGTTTCATTCCGGTCCCTTCTCTGGAGCTATTACTTTTTAAAAGAAGGCTATAATCACCATCAGAGTGTTTATGCAAGTTATATATAGCAGTTATTATCAGTTTTATACACGAAAACAGTCATTTCTGTTTCTTAAGGGAAATACTCAAGTGAAAGGGCCACATTGTTTTAAAATATAAGATTCTGCATCCCACTGGAAGGCAAGACTGAGAACCTGGTCATCAGAGAACATGTTTCGTCTCCCCTGCCCAGAGACTCTACATCCATATGGCTATGACAGATGTTAGAAATAAGAGACCACCATTCCAACCCAAGTGTCTGGGCAAGGGAGAATTTACTCTTGATCACAAGGGTCTGGAGAGCACACACGGGCTGGAAGTGCATTTGGTTTTTATTCTAACTTGGGTAGTGACTGTATCTTTTCCTCAATCGCTGGGGTCTGAACTCACAGTAAAGAACTGGTGCTAGTGAGGAAATGAAGGAAGGGGAGAAGGGTCACTGCTCCAGGCAGACTCCTGGGCTAGAACAGTGGACCTTTAAAAAAAAACAAATGTTTTACTGGATGATAATGGTGGTTAAAACATTTGCATCCAAGTTTTACAAGGGAATAAAATGAGTTGAATTCCTTGTCCCAAACACAAGTTTTATAGTATGTGATAGAAAAGACTTGTAATGGTCTATCCTGTCCCTTTAAGAGACAAGCCACACCCACTCCCGTCAGCCAGACAAGCTGATCTGCTTCCTGCCCAAGCCTTCCTTCTCTCTCCCGCTCTCCAAGTCTCTCTCTTGCTCACTGTGTGACTCCCTGCCCAGGACCAGCCGCCTTTGGAGACTGTGGCATGGTCTCATGGTGTGCCCATCCTTCTGTCTCTCCTCGTGGGACTGGCTGCCAGTCCCACTGAGGTCTCTCACCCACCACGCAGCTCCCTGCCTGGGACTCACTGCCCCATGAGGCCCACTACAGCCACTTGGAAAACTGCACCATCCCTGCCTGGGACTGGCTGCTCTCGGGACCTGCTGCCCACTGCCTGCTGCCACTTCGGGGACCTGCGGCATGGTCTCGGGATCTGCTGCCTGCTTCAGCCACGGGAGGACCTGTAGCATTTTATTTAAACCATAACAAGATTCCTATTTGATATTTCTTAAACAGATAGCTTTGCTCATTCTGCTAAATATAAAAGTTTGTAAGGAAATGCTTAGAGTAGAGTGTGGTGACACACATCTTTAATCCCAGCACTAGAGAGGCAGAAGAAGGCAGATCTCTGTGAGTCTGAGGCTAGCCAGGTCTATTTAGTGAGTTTTAGGACAGCCAAGACTATGTAATAAAGAGAACCTGTCTCAACAAACAACCCACAGAAAAGGCTTAGTTCTCAGAACAATAAAACAAACAAACCAGACCCAAGGTCCCAGTGCTTCAATTTTCTAACAACTTTCTGTCCCAGAGCCCCACCTGTGCTGCTGGCTCCCCTGGCCACACCATCCCAGTATATTGGTACTTTCATGCCTGGGGATGCTCTCTCTTCTTTGGCCTCAGAACGGAGTTCGACCAGTGTGTGAGGAACACAGTGCCATGCTGCAGCTTTCTTGGCTTGCAGCAGTAAGGGGGTCTCCAAAGGGCAGCAAAAGCCCTTCTTGAAGCAATTTATTATTCTGAAGATACTGTACAGATCAGACCACAGATCACAAGGCTCCCCACAGTAGCCCTGATTGCTGTGTTCTCATCAACTAACAGTGCTCTCTGCCAGTCCTGGGCATGCTGCTACCTAAAGCTTCTCTGTCCTGGCTAGACACAGCAGCTGCAGACACTGAAGTACTGTGGCTCTCAGAACTAAAGGAACTTACTTTTCCCCACAATGTGTGCCCTCTCCACAATGCCAACCCTCCAGTAATGGTAGTCGCAGAGATGGTTATGAATTGCTTAACATTCTTTTATACACCAAGCACCTTAGCTATCCCTAACAACAGGCCCCCCCAAAGGGAAATTCAGTCCCCGCCCACCTCTCTCTTTTGCTCCATAGCTGCTCAGCTGTAAGCAGTGGCAGGCTGTCTGCTTTCTTGGACTAGAGAGCTTCCCTCTACAGGCCTCTTCCTGAATAAAACTTATGCCATAGTCATTTGTCCCCTTGTCCGTCTTTTCTCCTCTGACCTTACACTTTCTGCCCGAGTTACCTCTCAGCCCTGTCTTGTCATCTCTTCTGAAAAATAATGCCCACTTTCTGCTTACACACACTGACCAAAGTGGGTCTCTAGGCTTAGCTCTTCACATTATGACCCAACAGGCCAGCCACTTTTAAAATACATTCACAGTTCGGAACACAGATTATCATATTCTAGAGAATTCACACACAGATGTCTCCAGTAGGGTCAGTGCACTATTGGCATCCTCTGCACACCTGAAATCAGTCTCCTGAGTTAGTTACAGTACTAACACTGTAAAGGCTAGGCACGCAGTCAGTGTGCAGTACTGTCTAGAGAGAAAGACACCAAACTTTATGCATTTTCAGTAGGTACATGATCTTTTTCTGAATATTTTCCAATTACAGATGTCTGAATCCGAGGATTCAGTGGAAATGCAATTCAGCTGAGTCATGAGAGCTTTAAAGGCTAGGCACTCAGGTGAAACCGCACTTCGAGGGAGCAGCAAGTGTGAACTCTGGCCTGTATTCTTGTGTCTCACCCTGCAACTGGCATAAAGTAGCTGCTACGTAAACACATGAGCACAAGTGCGGACTTTCAGACCAGAGAAAAATATTTCATTCAAGGAAACTTGGAGGCAGTGAAATAAAAGCTGTAAAAAGCACATGCACAGCTGTACAGAGGTAAATGATGGGAAGATGATGCAGCAAACAATGCGCACAGAGGCTGGGCATGGCGGCCCTTAGCACTTAAGGAGGTAGAGGCAGGAGGAGGGTTATGAGTTCCAGGCCAGCCAGGAACATATAGCAAAAAATCCTTTCTCAAACAACAACAACAACAACAACAAAAAACCAGATTACTCATTTGTTAAGAGCACTTCCTGTTTTCTAGGGGACCTGGCTACAGTTTCTAGGTCCAACGTCAGGCATTTCACAACAGCCTGTAATTCAGCATCAGGAGATCTAACACCTTCTTCTGGCCTCCTTGGGCACCTACATACATGTGACATACATTCACACAGACACACATGTCTCACACACACACACACATACACACACACTCTAAAAAAACAAGAAAAACAGCAACGATAAGCCAACCAAACCAACCAAGCAACTGATAAAGAAAACCCCAAAAATAAAAAAATAAAAATCTGCCAAAAGCCCACTTCAAGTCTGGCTATCCACAAATTTTGACTTAATATACTGAAAGACCTTCCCCGAAGGGAGTGAGTCACTCACTTGATGGACTCAGCTTATAGTCTGCATGCAACAATAGAACTATCTATCAGTTATATGTGGGCTAAGTGCTACTGGGGGAAACATGAGAAATATACACCATTACAATCAAGATACAACATGAGAAACACACGCCAGTACAATCAGGATACAATTAGCAGAAAAGGAGGGATACTAACTCTTCTCAGAGCCATGGGCTGCTGGAGGACTTAGAAAATGGTTTTTGAAAAGAAATTTTTTAGGAAGGTTTCTCTATTAGCCCTAGCTGTCCTGGAACTTGCTATATAGACCAGGCTGACCTCCAACCTGGAGAACCGCCTGCCTTTTCCTCCCAAGTGCTGGGATTAAAGGTGTGTGCCACCACCACCTGGCTTGAAATAACTTTTGAATTAACTCTAGAGAGACCAACAAGGTAAGATTTTTCAGGCTGAGGGACAGAGAAAGTACAAATGCCAGGAAGCTTAAATGGGAATAGTGAGAAGCGAGTCTCTCTGGAGTGTGGACTGCAAGATCACAGACAAGAGAGGACACACACTAGTGTCTGGGTGTGGTGATATCATGGATCAAGGAAGATTAGTAATGGTGATATAACAAATATTTGTCTCGACAGGAAATTAACTTAATTCTATGCAGTGAATTTGAGATGTCTTGTCTGAGTCCTTCAGATAGGAACGCCCAGATTGTAATGTGTAAATTTTATTTGAAGGGAGAGATCTGGGTAGACAGACAGGCGATGTAATGCTTGTCTAGGAGAAGTGTGATGTACATGCTGGCATTACAGTACTAGACACTACATGTTGCTTACATATATTTGGTACACATATTAACATATGTTTCAGTTGTTTTTGGAGACAGGGTCTCATGCTGTAGCCCAGACTGGCTTCTTATTCATGGTACATCTCCTCCTTAGCATCCTAAGTGTTGGGATTGAAGTGTGAGACCCATGTCCAACTGTGTATGATGAATTCTTTTTTTTCTTTTTTGTTTTTTTGAGGCAGGGTTTCTCTGTGTAGACCAGGCTGTCCTGAAACTCACAGAGATCCGCCTGCCTCTGTCTCTTAAGTGCTGGGATTAAAGGCGTGCGCCACCTCTGCTCAGTTTGTATGAGATATTCTTATACTCAGAAGGATAATTTCTGTTCCTGATCTGAAAATCCTCTGTCCTGCCTATCTTTAGCTCTAGGGTTTGCAGGGAGTTACAATGGAAGTGCTGGCACTGACTATATAAACAGGAACACAAGAGAAGCACAGAAACCATCCTTCGTGTACTCTGCCTGCTCTCCCATCTCAAGAGAGAAAGCATGGGAGGAAGGAACAAATACTGACTGAACCAATGGCCATCTCTAGAGCAATGGTTCTCAACTTGTGGGTGACAAACCCTTTGGGGGAGCTAGCAATCCTTTCACAGGGGTTACCTAAGATCACTAGAAAACAGATACTTACATTACAATTTATAACAGTAGCAAAATTACAGTTATGAAGTATCAACGAACATAATTCTATGGTTGGGGTCCCCACAACATAAGGAACTGTATTAAAGGGCTACAGCATTGGGAAGGTTGAGAACCACTGCACTAGGGGAAAATCTAAGTGAAATGTTTGTGTATATGTATGCAAACAAACAAGTCTGGAGGTCAAAAGCCACTGATGAAAAAAATTATCATAAGTAATTAAAATCCACAGTCCTGAATTATGAATTTTATGTAAAATCAGGAGTACATCATACTTGCAAAAAGTACAAAATTACATGTTCCTGCTTCAACCTTTTTTTCAATAGTTGAAAACTAGATCTAACAAAAGGACCCAAAGCCATTGTGGCACAGGCAGTCAGCTGACGCAAGTTAGGTTTGCTGTGGGTTTTTCCTTGCTTGCTTTTTCTTTCTTTCTTTCTTTCTTTCTTTCTTTCTTTCTTTCTTTCTTTCTTTCTTTCTTTCTTTCTTTCTCACTCCCTTTCTCCTTCTTTCCCTCCCTTCTTTTTTCCCTCTCTTGCCTCCCCTGCCTCTTTCTTTCCTCCTTTTAAGACATGGTATCTCTATGTAACCCTGGCTGTTCTGAAACTCACTAAGTTGGCCTTGAACTCACAAAGATCCACCTTCCTCTGCCTCCCTTAAAGTGGTGCATCACAACACCCAGCCCCACAAATCAGGCTTAGAAACAAATATGACAAGCATATATACACTGGAAGGAAGGGGAGGAGCCAAAGTGTTGTGGAATATTCCTTTACACTGTATGATGATATGCCACTGTGACTGGTTTAATAAAGAGCAGAACAGACAATAGCTAGGCAGATTTCCAGGCACAGAGGAAGCTGGGAAGAAGGGTAGAGTTGTGAGGAGATGCCAAGCCCCACGCCAAGCAACATTGGCATTACAAAACGAAAGTAACATTTATAATGTAAAAGAAAGTAGATTAAAAGATTTGGGTTAAGTTCTAAGAAATAGTTAAAAACAAGCCTAAGCTATTGGCCAAGTTTTCATAATTAATAAGGAATCTCCATGTCATGATTTGGGAGCTGGCTAGCGGGATAGAGAAAGACTTGTTACATCAATGTTCAAGTGGACACAGAGAGCTGCAGCAGAGACTAACAGTATGAAGGCAGAGGATGGCCCAGGGACATGAGAGAAACAGTACGTAACTGCTCTTTGGACAGGGCATTTGTTTTCAGGCTTCTTATGCCATGGGTGCCCTTTCCCTAATGATAAAATGCAATGTTAAATATATTCAACTCATTTCTACCTGTTTCCGAGCTGGGAATTACTTGTTTTTGAGGATGCAGGCACCTCTTGGAAGTCAGTGAAAGAATCATCAAGGGATCCTGATTTGGAAGCATCTTGAAAATCTTGGAAGTCATCTTCTTCTGTCTTTCCCACCTAGATTTAGAAAGTGTCTTAGAGTTAGAGTGACTAGTGCAGAGATGAAACACCATGACCAAAGCAACTTAGGGAGGAAAGAGTTTATCTGGCTTATACTTTCACATATCACTGTCCATCAATGAGGCAGTCAGGACAGGAACTCAAGCAGGTCAGGAGCCTGGAGGTAGGAGCTGATGCAGAGACCATGGAGGAGTGCTGCTTACTGGCTTATTCATCATGGCCTGCTTAGACTGCTTTCTTATAGAACCCAGGACCACCAGCCCAGGGATGTCACCACCCACAATGGGCTGGGCCCTCCCACATCAGTGTCCTTTAACCAGGTTTTACGGAGGTGTTTTCTCAATAGAGGTTCCCTCTTTCAGATAACTCTAGCTTGTGTCAGGTTGATGTAAACCTAGACAGCACAATTGACTCCTTGCTACCTTGACACACAAACACATCACTGCCAAGCCACAGCCTTTTCTTTCTTGTTTTGCCTCAAGATCACACATTACTACCAACATTACAATATAAACAACCCAAAATTTAAAAGTCCCAGAGTCTTTAAAAATTCAGTCTCTTTAAAACAGCCAAGTCTTTTTTTTTTTTTAATCCAAAGCCTGTCTACTGTGTGATGTGGGATAACTCTCTGTATGCTGTGAATACATTGGTTAATAAAGAAGCTGTTTTCAGCCTGTGATAGGGTAGAGCAGAGCTAGGTGGGGGGGGGGCAGTAAGAAACTAAACTGAATGCTGGGAGAAGGAAGGCGGAGTTTAGGGGAAGCCATGGAGTTGCCGCCAGAGACAGATATGCCGAAACTTTGCTGGTAAGCCACTGCCACATGGCAATACACAGGTTAATGGAGATGGGTTAAATTAATATGCAAGAGTTAGCCAATAAGAAGCTAGAGCTAATAAGTCAAGCAGTGATTTAATTAATACAGTTTCTGTTTGGTTATTTTGGGAGTCTGTGCATCCAGGAAACGAATAAGCGGCATCCTTACTACAACTGTGGACTCCTATAAAATCAAATATAAATGAAATACTTTCTCACTTAAAGAGAGAAGAACTAGGGCATAGTTACAATCTGAACCAAGCAAAGCCAAACTTCAACAGTGTAAATAACTCATTGTCCAATTATCTGGGATTTAAGGGGCTCCACCTCCTGCAGCACACACAGCTTGTCTTCTAGGCTCAGGCTGGCTCCACTCCACTGACACTGCTGTTCTTGGTGGTCATCCCATAGCACTGGCATCCCCAAAACTGCTGAGGCACTTTGTTGCAACTGGGCTGCACTTTCACCAGTCAGCCTCTCCAGGGCTCTCTTTTCAGGGACTCCAGCCCTACCACATAGTGCCAAGCCTCAGCTGTTCTCCATGACCCCCTTACACCTTCAAAACCAGATCAGCTGCAAGCACAAGGTACAACCTTGGCCATGTCTGTATCCCAGCTTCTGTGTGCTGACTCCCTGGAAACACTTCCCAGAGAACTTCACCTCAATGATGCTTCTTCAGTCACAGCTGATTCTTTAGCTCCAGCTGAAGACTCTTCACAACAAAAGGCCCAGCAGAGTCTTCACTTTCCTCTGAAACCTACAAGCCAGGTCTCCATCATCTACACTGCTCTCAACACTCCCATCTCCCAAGCTCCTATACAAGAGCTCACTGAGCTCTCAACCCTCAATTGCTTTTCTAGCCCAAAGTCCCAAAGACCTTCCACAGTCCTCCCCAAAACAACATGGTCAGATCTGTCACAGCAATACTCTCCTACCCTGGTACCAGCTTGTCTACTGCTGTAATGAAACACCGTGACCAAAATAACCTGGAGAGGAGAGGATTTATTTGGCTTACACTTCCACATCACTGTTCATCATTGAAGGGAGTCAGGACAAGAACTCAAACAGGGCCAGGCAGTGATGGTGCACACTGTTAATCCCAGCACTCGGGAGGCAGAGGCAGGCAGATCTCTGTGAGTTTGAGGCCAGCCTGGCTTACAAAGGGAGTTCCAGGACAGCCAGGACTGTTACACAGAGAAACCCTGTCTTGAAAAAAAAAAACCCACCTTCAAAGAGGGCAGGAACCTGAAAGCGGGAGCTGATGCAGAGACAATGGAATGGGTGCTGCTTACTGGTTTGCTCATTATGGTTTGCTCAGCCTGCTGTCTTATAGAACCCAGGATCACCAGGCCAGGGATGGCACCACCCACAATGGGCTGAGCCTTCCCCCATCAACCACTAATTATGAAAATGACCTGTAGCCAGATCTTACAGAAGCATTTTCCCAATTAGGACATTTCAGATTAATCTAGTTTATGTCACATTGACATAAAACTAGCCAGCACAGAAAGGAACATGAGGTTGTCAAAACAAATAACTCTTCTCTAAGCAGCAATCTCAAAGACTATCATTTAATTGCTCAATTTAGTTACAACTGCCTAATTTCATAATGGGGTGCATGTGTGTGTGCACATGCACTATGCTGGAGGCGAACGCGGGATCTTGTGTGCATGAGGCAAGTGCTCTACCACTGAGATATATAGCTCCAGGCAAGAACATAATTGAGATATAACAACGAAAGTGCTTAAGGCAAGAATTCTGTTTCGTATTTTAAGGTCTTCTCTAGTACAAATGTAAAGAGACTGGCCTAAATAGCTAACCTCTAAATATTTTTAAAGTACTTGGATTACATTTGTTGGGTTGCCGACAGCAATGTTTGTGAACAGACACACATGAGTCCCTCATGACAGTCATATACATGCATAAAGCAAACATTGGCTCCTAGGCTAACACCAGAGCAGCAGCAGACTGTTCACGGCCCGTTTGCCTTATGGAACAAGCTCACACTACACTGTTCGGTACTTTAAAAATGTAATTACACAACAGGCTCATCCTTCCATGCCATAAGTGCACATCTATTTTGTTAATTTTAATGACTGCCATCGACTGTATGGAGAAACGGAAATCCACTGAGCATTTTCTTCATGATGAGCAGTACATTTATTCTAACAAGCAGTGTTACTGCTGACATTCTGTCCATCTCTGCTAACATCAGTTACCATCTCTGAAGACATGGGCATGTTTTCAAACAATTGTGCCAACAAACCTACCTGCAGGGTGCAGGGTTAGCCACTCTTTCCTCCATGTTCACTGACCATTGACATTATATATATATTTTTTAAATATTTATTTATTATGTATACAATATTCTGTCTGTGTGTATGTCTGCAGGCCAGAAGAGGGCACCAGACCTCATTACAGATGGTTGTGAGCCACCATGTGGTTGCCGGGAATTGAACTCAGGACCTTTGGAAGAGCAGGCAATGCTCTTAACCACTGAGCCATCTCTCCAGCCCAACATTATATATTTTCACATTAAAAACATTGGTTTTCTAATTTGAGAAGTGAAATTTTTAAATCTTTTTTTCTTTTTTTTTTTTTTTTTGAGACAGGATCTCACTATGTTTACTGGCTGGCTTTGTGTGTCAACGTGACACAAGCTGGAGTCATCAGAGAGGAAAGAGCCTCCGTTGAGAAAATGCCTCCATGAGATCCAGCCATAAGGCATTTTCTCAATTAGTAATCAATGGGGGAGAGCCCAATCCATGATGGGTGATGCCCTCCCTGGATTGTTGGTCCTGGGTTCTATAAGAAAATAGGCTGAGCAAGCCAGTAAGCAGCACCCCTCCATGGCCTCTGCATCAGTTCCTGCCTCCAGGGTCATGCCCTATTTGAATTCCTGTCCTGGCTTCTTTCAATAAGGAACAGCAATGTGGAAATGTAAGCCATATTAACCTTTTTTTCCCCCCACTTGCTTTTGGTCATGGTATTTCATCATAGCAATAGAAACCCTAACTAAGACAACATGCAGTTCCGGCTGGCCTGGAACTCTCTATGTAAACTAGGATGACCTCAGACACATAGATAGATCTACTGCCTCTGCCTCCTGAGAGCTGAAATCAAAGGTGTACAACTACCACGTCTGGCCTTAAATCTCCCTCTTTTTCTCTGTATGTGTGTGTACACGCACACACATGCATGTGCACGAATGTACAGAAGGTCAGAGGTTGGTATCACGTCTTCCTTAACTGCTTTCCATTGTAGCAAATATCTTAATTCTCAACAAATAAATATTTTGTGTATTTAAAAATAATTAAAAACAAACAAAAATAAACAAATTATGTATTATCTTAATACTTAAAAATTATTTTATTTCTTGCAGAGCCGGGGTCAAATTTAGGTTCCTGAGCATCCTAGGTGAGAGGTCACTGATGAACCACACCTCTGTTGCACACTGCTTAATTTTCACATGCCCACTATAGCCTAGCAACTGAGCCTCTGGAAGAAAGCTGCCTACAGGTACTTCTAGGAATGATCTGGCAGACACATAGCTTCTCCACTTACCTGGTTTGAGGGGTAGGCTGGCATGAAGCCACTGGAAGCTGGTGCTGCAGCTCCACCCACTGGTCCAACAAGGTTAATGCCCATGATGGGCTGTCCAAGGCTGAGGGGCATGGAGCCTGCAGGGACAGAGGGCATCGCAGTCGGCTGGCTCACTGAGGTAGGCAGAGCCATAGGAAAGCCGCTTAAGGTAGGAATGGGAGCTGCTGGGAACTGGTTCAAAGCATCAGGGCTCATGGCAGGAACACCCCTCTACAGGGAACAGCAGGAAATGAAAACATTTTAGTTGACTGCAGATAATACTCATGGTCTGTGCACGAGAGACCTACACATGGCTCTCCTGTTGCTTCACTGATTCCTCAAGTCCATGGACCTGACACCCGGAGAAGAGTGAAAGCAGGACCCACTACTGCCCTAGACTTTCTTCTTGTTGTTGTTTGTTTTGTTTTTCGAGACAGGCTTTCTCTGTAGCTTCGGGGGCTGTCCTGGAACTCACTTGATAGACCAGGCTGACCTCAAACTCACTGAGATCCACCTGCCTCTGCCTCCCGAGTGCTGTGATTAAAGGCGTGTGCGCCACCACTGCCCGGCCTGACTTGTACTTCTAAAAATGCAATTATACGCAGCCATCCTTTCACAAAGCAAACATAAATGTGGACCTGTTTATTTCACCCAAACTTTCCTCACTTAAAAATCCGTTGCTAGCTGGTGGTGGTGGTGGTGCACGCCTTTCATCCCAGCACTTGACCCTGTTTTGAAAAACAAAAACAAACACACAAACAAAAAATCCAATGCTAATACTTAGACATGGCCAGCACACATCAACTGTGACATATTCTGTCTGGTAAGCTTGGCCATTATGCTAAAATCAAGTAACTTAAACTAATTCCAAAATAAAACAGAAGTTGTTACCAGGCTAAGTATACTTTAAGAAATTCTAAACAAGGGCAGAAACTGAAGTCATCAATTACTTTCAAACAAAAGGATAACTTGCTAAGATGTGCATTATATGGACAATACATTTTTGAAACATCTTATCACAAATGATCTAAATTTTAATGGACAAAGATATCTACCTACAAGGTGGTAGTGAAAGGGGGGCTCACGCTCTTTCAACGTGTAGTAACACACTTGTTCTAACGTGGGACGTGAAGTCTACCTGTGTTACTGCTACCATGGCGAGAACAGTATAAAGCTCTTCCTTAGTCAGTTTGCCGGGTGTAGTCCGATTGGCTAAGGCCCATATCTGCCCGAGTGTTTCCCTGGGAAGTCCAGATGACATCAGAATGGGATAAAGTTTAGCAGTGTCTATTCCAGTTGGAGTCATTGTCGTCTCTAAAATTTTCTTATACGCATCTGTTAAGAGAAAGAGCAGATGACAAATGCAAACACACTGCAGGAAAATGACTTGTTGCTGCCACCGTAGGTACAAAAGAATGACCTTAAGTTAACTGCTTTAATTTAGCTGGCATCTGGCTCAGTGGGGAAAGGCACCTGCTGCCAAGGCTGATGACCTGAGTTCAATCCTTGGGACCGGTAAGGTGGAAGGAGAGGACTGACTCCCACAAGATGTCCTCTGACCTCCATAGACTTGACTAGGAAAGGGGATGCATGCTTGTGTATGAAGAATGAGGGAGAAGATAAACTATCAGAAATGGACAGAACTAAAATCTAAGATCTAGTTTCTGTAGATTTGAAGAGAGGAAAGGGGAGAGATTCAAAATGGGTAGATAGTCTCCCATGGTTTGAGAGGTCATCTAGCCTTTGATTTGTGGTTGTATGATTACAATAAAAAGAAGACATTACTAATTTCTCCAAGAAATAAATTCTTCTGTAGAGATCTTACATCGAGGCTGATTTACTCAAGGGTAGAACAACTTTTGTCTGTACCAACCTTGAGCACTGATGAGCTAGTGGACATTACCTCCAGCTTGTAAGGCGCCGAGCAGCAAACCAAGCAGCTGTGACTTGCTAACCTTGGCACCTGCTGCTGGAAGGACCGTTGTTTCTGTGCCTATCGATCGCTGTACCATCGTCTGCTACCCACCAAGGACTACCACACAATCCATCTTATCATTTCCTCAGCTCAGCACTGATACTACACATAAAAAAGAAACCACTTTCCAATGTAGAAAATGATGATACTCAATCTTGCATTTCATATAGTTTTATAGGACAATCAGAAAGAGTATTTAAAATATATAATCCTTATGAATTGAGAAAGTATTAAACATATTAGTGTGATTTTTAAAAAAAAGACATTTTTCAACTTTTATGTGTATGAGTGTTTTGCCTGCAAGTAGATCTGTGCACTACATGTATACCTTGTGCCTGCAGAAGCCATAACAGGGTGTCTGATGCTCTGGAACTGGAATGTAATTGTGAATCATTATGTGGGTGCTGGGACTTGAACCCAGGTCTTCTGGAAGAGCAGCTATACTCTTAACCACTAAGCCATCTCTTCAGCCTGTGATTCATGATAGGTTATTAATAATCTTTGAAATAAATATCTGATAATATCATTATTTAAAACACAGTAACTCTAACTGCTTGGCCTTTACCCCAAGAGCCATCTTGCTACTCTCAATCAAGTAGTCTTTTTTTAAAAATATGCATACACACCAGAGATACATATTCTTTTTTTAATATTTATTATGTATACAATATTCTCTCTGCATGTACACCTGAAAGCCAGAAGAGGGCACCAGATCTCATTAAAGATGGTTGTGAGCCACCATGTGGTTGCTGGGAATTGAACTCAGGACCTTTGGAAGAGCAGGCAATGCTCTTAACCTCTGAGCCATCTCTCCAGCCCCCTAGTCTTTTTTTTTTTTTTTTTTTTTTCTTGAAGACAAGGTCTCACTGTGTAGCCCTGGCTGTCCTGGAACTCATAGACAGCTACCTGCCTCTGCCTAAGTGCTGAGAGTAAAGGCATGCATCACCATGCCCTGCCTATAAAACAGTCTTAAACATGAGGTTTTATTTAGTTTTCTATCCTCCTGCAGAAAAAAACTGTAACAATTCCTTCTGCATATTTTTATAACCATGACAGAAAATGTTTAGAAATACTTCTATAATATTTAAAGTAAAATATGCAGAGGGGAATGCTGGGCAGGAAAGCTTTACTTTACCTGGAACCAGACTCTCATTGTAAATCCAAGGAGGCATCCTGGGCTGGGCAGGGTCCTGAGAGGGAAACACACCCACACCTAGAAGGGAAGGATGGTTAATGCACATATGCTCTGGAGAAGAGAAAGGCCACTCCTTTTTACAGAGAGGAGCGCTGGTTGGAGTCACTAGAAAAAAGTCACCAATATAATGAAAGTGCTTGGTTTCCAACAACTCTGGCAATAGTGTCTGTGTACTAAAATATAAAGAGAGAGTACAGGCACCAAATCAATAATCTGAGTCACAGGAGGCATGCACCAATTAATTGTGTTTGACGGGTTAAGGCAAAAACACAATAGACAGTGGCTTAAAATTCCATGTGTAAAATATCCTCCTGGGGTCTGTCTCCAGGGCTGCCCACATTCCGATTCATCTCCACAGTGAAAATCTGGATTTAGCTTTTGTACTTTGGGAACAGGATCCAGGGCCATGTAGGTGCCGAGTGAGCATCCGATTGCAGCCCGAAGACCTGCATGTCGTTCTCCCGTGCTGTGGGCACAAACCCTGGGCCTTGAGTGTGCAAATCTGGATCTTTCCGGCAGCTGCACATACAGTTTAGTTCAAAGAGAAAAATTGCATTCTCATTGGTGACTTTTCCAGTTTCAGCTAAACTTTGTTTTTTTATGGAAAACCAGAAAGTGCAAGGGGAAATCAAAGGGAGCTGTTGTAGAATGAGCGGGAATTTAGACCAGGAGGCGCTGATTATGAACAGGGTTATCAAAACCATTTGAAAAGAAGTAATTCAGTGCATTCAAAGAATTCAGAGCAAAATCTTAGGGGTTAATTGGAGAAAAGATTGCATAAATATTTTGTAAGCAAAATTTGAATGAGCACAATCAAGCAGTATCCATTTTAAGATTAACGCTGAAAGTGTTAGCAGCGGAGCAGCAGTTGGTTAAACAAAATTTGTGCAGAACGTAGCAGGAGCTCACCACTCTCTCCACTGGACAGGTTTTGGTCTGAAGTCTTTTCTGCCTCTGCAGTGGTGGGACCACTTACACATCCATCTACAGCACCCCCATTACGGGCCATTAAACCGGGACCGCTCTTACTGGAACCTGGGACTACGGCTTTGTGCCCAACTTCAGGAGTGTTTAATTTAATTTGTTCCTGCCCAGATGTATTTATATCACAAGATACTAGGAGCTTCTCTTCCAAGGAAGGGCCTAAACAAACAGCATGAAGGGTTACTTGTATATTACTTTCATATTCCAATCTTCTCACCATCCCTCCCACCCTCAGGGGAAGAACTCCCACAGAGATGAAATTTCGTAATAATTCAATTGTTACCCATTAGTGTAGGGTTTGAGAGGCTTCAGATGTTTTGGGAGACTTAAAATAATTACCCTACTCTGGTTCTCAGGGACTGCGTAACACAGTAGGTAGAATCACGAATTGGGAATATGCACTGGGCAAGTCATCAGACACAGACACTCCTAACTAGTGGGAGACACCTGTCTGGCCTGTTTCCACATCTGTCAAATGACAATCTTATAGATTAAGTCCAGGTCTTCCAAGACCTTTCCCAGCACACTCTGTCTCGACATAGACTGTGCCTACCCCATAATTTCACAAATGATAAAAATGGAAATAAAGAAATGTGTAAAGATTTGTCCAAGGACAAAACATGTCACTGTAGCAGGCTGGCCTCAAGCCTGAGCAGGTCCTGCAGCCTCTATCTGCCAGGTGCTGGGATTACAGACATGGGTCACCATGTCCATATTAGATAGAGTCTATTTCTCTTCTCCTCCTCCTCCTCCTCCTCCTCCTCCTCCTCCTCCTCCTCCTCCTCCTCCTCCTCCTCCCCCCCCCCCCCCCCCCCCCCCCCCCCCCCCCCTCCCCCTCTCCCCCTCTCTCTCTCTCTCTCTCTCTCTCTCTCTCTCTCTCTCTCTCTCTCTCTCTCTCTCTCTCTCTCTCTCTCTGAAACAAGATCTCATATAGCCCAGACCGCCTTGAATAATATAGCAAATGACCTGGAACCCCTGATTTTTCTGCCTCTATATCTCACGGAATGGATTACAGATGTGTATATCATAGCTGGCTAGAGAGATCACACTTGAGAAGAATTACTTTACATTTATTGCTTTTTGTGTGTGTATGTTGGTGCGTGTATGAAAGTGAGCAGACACCTCTGGGAGTCCCTTCACTCCTTCCAGAGTGTGAGCTCTGGGGATAAATGCAGGTCATCAGGCTTGGTAGCAAGTACTTTACCCAATGAGCCATCTCATTGGTCCTGAACGATTATTTTTTAACCGAGTTCTCCCTAGGGCATTATTATAACATGATATTAGTGATTTTTTCCCCCAAACAAAAGCATAATCTTAGGAGGTCAGTTTGCTGTTAACGTTTTGCACTGGTTTCACCTGTTTCTAACATAGCAGCAAAAGGTTTCAAATCACTTTTTTGGCAAATGAAGATGTAAAAACTTAATCTAGCTNTTCTTTGCCAACAGCACTGTATAATTCTACATATGTAAGAGAAATAAATCATCCTAGAATATCTTAACACTTAGATAATAACACTGGAGTTACCTGCTTTCTGCACACTGGGTGAAGCTGAAGCAGTAGAGAAACAAAGGATTTGCCCAGGGCCACCATGTAAGGCAAAAGACACTGGAACCTGACCTGGAGGGAGAGGCTGTGCTCCAGCCTTCTGTGTGTGCACCTGGCCGAGTGGGGTAGTGGGAAGGAAAGACTGAAAGGGCCGGGCCATGGGAGAGGGCCCACAAGCGGACACCTCAACAGGCCCCTGCATAAAGTCACTGAATTCGTCTTCGTCAAGAAAGGCAGGTGATGGGGAGACAGTTTTGGTAGAATGAGATGATGTGGGACAATCTGCAAAATGGAAAATGGTAATGAAACACACAGGAATGAAAACCAAAGAGAAAGAAATCCAGATGTAACACAACCCTCAGAACACACTGAAATGGGAACCGTGGAAGGGAGTAAGAAACACAGTCAAATGGAACCACAGTGCTCATGGAACACGTTGATGTCTGTTTTGTTCTAAAAATAAGTTCTAGAGCTATTTTATACTTGGTGAAAAAACAGACAAAATTAACTCAGATTTTCTTCTTTCATCTTATTGGGTAATACTAAATATGTATCAAAGTGATAATTACTTCAGAAATCCAAGAGGTCTGTCTGATAATACTTCTTTTGTGTGTCTATTTGTTTGTTTTATGAGACAGAGTTCTCTCAACTAAGTTCTGGCGTCCTGGAACTTGCTCTGTAGACCAGGCTGGCCTCAAACTCACAGAGATCTGCCTGCTTCTGCTTCCCAAGTGCTGGGTTTAAAGGCGTACAACACTATACTTGGCCTAGACAATCTTACTAAACAAACAAACAAATATATAAATATGAACAGCATCTGAACAACACAATTAATTACTTAACATGTCTCCCTTGCTGCTAACTGCTGCCCACAGATCTGTGCTGACCAGGGAACTTGGTGTGAACACAATGTCGGACCTAACAATGGCCACTGCTCTCTAGTTCTTCTAAGTTTGGTGCCAGGTACAGTTTTAGTCTTAACTTTCAATGTTTGTATGCCGACAGGCTCAGTTCTGTAGCTTGAGTTGGCCTAGAACTTGCTATGAATGCACTCTAGGCTAACCTCAAACTCACAACTCCCTTACGTTAGCCTCTGGGTGCTAAGATTATATGGATGTACCACCACACTGCCTGCATCACTTCAGCACTAGCTTGTATGGCTGACAGTTTTCAGTTTTAGATATACTTCTCCTTATCTCAAAATGGTAGATAGTATCTGTTCTCTTCCCAATTTTAGTGTATACTTTAATTTGAACTTCATTTTGGTAATAGAAATCAAGGCACATAATCTAATCAGTAAGTTGAGCCAGAAAATCAAGGATTCATAACAGGCTGAAGAGATGGCTCAGTGTTTAAAAGCACTTATCACTCTTCCAGAGGACCCGAGTGCAGCTCCTGGCATCCATATCAGTTTCACAACAGCCTGTAACTCCAGGTCAGGGCATCTGAGGGCCCTGGTGGGCACCAACACACACACATAAATAAAAATAAATACTTAAAAAAAAGAATTGATAACAGCATCAATATTTTTTCCTGATATTAACTTATAAGAGATACTAAATACAAGGATTTAAAATAAAATTTATTGATATAATATTTTCTAGCAAAATATAGTTAGTACCTTTTGATTTGAAGAATGATTTATGAAAATGGTCTATTAATGGTATATTGTTGAAAGGAGCTGATAACAAAATGTCAAAGTATTTAATTTCAAAGAAACAAGAAAACATTTTGTGGACAATTTCAACTGCTAAGTGTTCAAAATGATAACAAAAATCTCTTTACCCTGCTTCTTTCTCTAAAAGGCAATTTGATTTGATTACCTCATGATTAAAAACTACAAAGACGTTTACTGAAAAAGCTGAACTTCCCTGAGGGATAGTATAGCCGTGACTATTTTAAAATGGGTGTTTTGAGAATTTCTAAATCTTGTCACATAAACAATGAAATTTGACCTAGCTCACAAGAGAACACATTTCATAATAATGAAGATAGATTAGTAAATTCACTACATTTCTTTGAGTCCACAGACTTTCTTTTTTTGGTCAGGATCTCTCCCAGCGGACCAGGCTGGCCTCAGATTCAGAGAGCCTCCTACTTCTACCTCACGAATGCTGGGATTAAAGGTGTGCACCATCATGCTGGTACAAAAGGCGTCAGTATATTCGCTGTACAAATTTCCTGGGAAGTTATTAAAGTGATGTCTAAGCGGAGGACTAAGGATTTGAACCTCCAGCTTAGCTGTTAAATGGGTCAGATCCCTTACATTTTAAAATGTTCAAATCTGAATTTAGCTTGAAGGCACACAGAGGCCAATGGAACATGGGGAGATGATCAACCAACTTCCAAGGAAAGAATATTTTCGTGTTTCTTACAATGAAAACTACCTGGTTTCTTGGGGTGTGATACTGGAGTGGGGTGCATCTTAGCATCTCTGGAAAATCCATCTAAGTTCCCTTTTATGGCTTCCAAAGCGTGGTCTCTGTTCTTCTCTCCGGTCTGCAAGACAGGAAGCCTGTGTTTAGTTCTTCCCTCGTCTCCCACCATCTTCCCCTCTCAAACTAACACACACAGACCTATTTCTGATGTCCTTTTTGCCTTGTTTGTTTTTGAGACGAGGTTTTAGAGTTCACTGTGTAGCCCAGACTGGCCTCAAACTCATGGTCATCCTTCTGCTTTTGACTCTCAAGTACAAGGATACAGGAATGGCTTTAGTTCCAAGATTCTTACTACATACTTCTGATAATTTTTCATGTCAGAAAGACATTAACAAGTATATAAAATAAAGGCATAAAAAGACATTCTACAGAATATAAAAACTTTAAAAGGTTCATTCTCAAACACTATGAAACAGGGCTATAATATACTGAACGTTCTATGAGAAACCTGACAAATACGTTTCCTACTCTCCCATCTATGATCAATGCTTCCCAAGAAATTGTCATGGTGACTAGAGAGAGAGAGAGAGAGAGAGAGTTGAGAAGACAGTGGCTGATATCTGTTTTCCCCAACAGAAGCATATTGATCTGTGTAGAAAAAGAAAGCCCTTCCCTTTAGGACTTAGGTAAACCATGATACAAAGAAAATCCACTGCAGCCTGAGCTTGGGCTGCTGCCTGAGTGAGAGGAGGCATGCACAGGGTACACGTGTGTGCTGGAGGGTGTGGGGGGTGCATACATCACCTTGGGTTTCACGCTACTCAAAAGTCTGAGCTTCTGTTTTTGCTCTTCAAACTGACGTCTTTTCCTTTCTTCCTCTAAGAGTTTTTGTTGCTGTTCAAATCGTTTTCTAAAGAAAAAACAATCACACCAACATTCAGTCAAGTAGTGATGGCTACATTCAGATTTTATTATCAGCTTCAGCAATACCAACTTGCATTTCTAGAATTATAATCTTCACTCTTGATTATATGTAATTTTCTTATGACAAGCTGTTTCTCCTGTATACTAGTTCTAAAATATTTTAAATAAATCTACAGAATGATTCACCTAATTTACATGTATGTTTTTATTTCTTACCTAATTTGCAAGGCAAAGAAAGTATCCCCCCCCCCCCGGTGGTGGGTACTGGTGGTGGAGCTGAGTATGAAACCTGGGATCTATGCTTGCCAGACATCATGCTACAACTGAGATAGTTCTGAGTAAAGAGAGAAATCCACCTCTAGGTGGAAACATGCCCTGTCTCCTCCCTTAAGGATTAACCCAACCTGGCAAGACAAAGGACTTGGCTAGGAAACCACCCCAGGATGGCAGGTTCACCTTAGGAAAGAACCCCTCAGTTGGTTATCCAAAACCAAGTAGTCAGCCCTGAAATTATTTTCATATAAGTAAAATTATATGGGCTAAGTAGGTTGTACTTGACAGGCCACAGATTTGAGAGAGAGAGAGCAAGGGGAGGGATATATGGGAGGAGTTCAAGGAAGAAAAGAGAAGGGGGTAGTGTAATTATATTTGATTTTAAAATATTTTTCAAATTATCAATTAAAAAAAGATAACAAACACCTTTCCTTCCTAGAACCCCCTCCCACTGGGGCAGTTCCTGTGAGGGGTCTACCTTTCTGAAACTTGACTCCGAAAAGTGTAATTATTTCTTTTTCTTCTTTCTGTTTTTTTTTTTTTTTTCTGGATATTGACCAGAGGCTAAGTGTGCTCTTAAACCTCTAATGCTTTGGGCTTCCTCACTCTGCCTGTTCCCAAGGCCCCTTTGCCCTGCCATGTGGCTGCTGCCCACCATGTGGCTGACCTCCCCATCTTACCCTTTCCACCCTTCGCTGGAGTTTTCCTTTCAAACTCTAATACACTGTCCATTAGCTTCTGTCTAAATCTGTTCTTTGTCCTCAAAATTCCCTTTGTGTTCATTCTCAAATTGCATCATCAATGAGACAAAGAGCCCCAAGAGGGGACCCCGACTCCCAAGGTACCATATGATGGCTCTGTTGGGACTCCACAGATTTCCAGTATTTATTTCTTTCCTGCTTTTAATTTTTTTAATTGGCAGAGAACATGAACCCTTCTTCACCCCTAGACTTTCAGCAGTAGAGGAAACAATCTTGGTGCACTGAGCAGTAGCGAATACCAGGGAGACAGATAAACATAAAAGCACACTTTGTTCTGCATATAAGAAAATGAAACGCAGGCTGCCTAGCAGCTAATGCTGTACCATCAAACAGCAGCAGCAACAACAAACAATTGAGGAAGTTGGGTGTAGAAGCAAAAGCCTATAATCCCAGCATTTGGAGGCCTGGGCACCAAGACTGCAAATCAAAACCACCCTGGACCTTTTTTGTTACTCTGATTCCAGAAATCAAAACAACAAAAAAGACAAAAACCAATCAAACAAACATGGAATTTCATGGGGAAAGAAGGCAGAGTGTCCAGGAACAAGAGCCATGCTCTTAGGAGCAAGGACCTGTCAGACAACCAAGTTTGTTGGTAACTTTGTAACCTGTGCTGAAAACCACTTCATTTCAGATCCCTCTTTATTCTGTGCTTTAGTTTTGTTTGTCTGAGATAGACTCTTGCTTTATTGGCCTCCAGCCTTAAACTCACACTTCTCCTACCCAGCCTCCCAAGAGGCAGGCTTACAGGTAAGTGCCAGACCACTTAGTTGGCTCTAAACTTCTTACAAGAGTATTTAAAGGGGGGGCTGGAGAGATGGCTCAGAGGTTAAGATCATTGCCTGCTCTTCCAAAGGTCCTGAGTTCAATTCCCAGCAACCACATGGTGGCTCACAACCATCTGTAATGGAGTCTGGTGCCCTCTTCTGGCCTGCAGGCATACAGACAGAATATTGTATACATAATAAATAAATATTATTTTAAAAAAAGAGTATTTAAAGGGTCGGGTCTCAAAATCAAACAACAAACAAACTCGTTTTTAAAGTGTGCTAAAGACAATGTATCTCTTTCAGCTTCAAACTACAGAGCATTTGATAATCTACAGAACAGCTGCAGCTGGATAACCCAGTTCTCCCTGGATCCTGGGAGTCCTTACTGTTGCTCTTCAGCAAACTGCTTCTGCATGTCTGGAGTGTACTGTGGGCCTGGAGGACGCATGCCCAGGAATGGTGGCTGCCCCAGGAAAGGCATGCCTGCTGCTGGCATTGGTCCCATCGGTATTCCTGCCTAGAAGAAACAACAGACAACAGATTAAATAATATATGAGTTTTCTTTTTAATTATTAAAAACCTTGCAAAATTATTGTATAGTATTTTTACCAGTAAGATATACGATATATTCTAGTGGAAGATTAAAAAAAAACATAAGCTGAATATTTCTGCTAGTGTCAAAGGACACCACTGGTCTAAACTCCTTCAGGCTTCATGGTAGCACAGGGTTACATGCCACTGTGCTCAATAGGCCACATGCTTTGAGGAAAGGTGTCATAACATATGTATGTATCTTTGTTTTCCCAGCATCAGTGAAGACCCTGTCATATGGCAGTCATTTCACATGTAAAATTGAACTTGATTCCCAGAATTTATAAGACAATAAAAATTTGGAGGTAGAGAGAGATGGCTCAAAAGTTAAGACCACTTGTTGCTCTTACAGAGTACTGGGGTTTGATTCCCAACAACCACATGGTATCTCGAACCACCTAGAACTCCAGTTCTAGGGGATGGATGGACTCTTTTCACTGTGGCTGGCTCCAGGCACACACATGATATATATATATATGCAAGCAAACATTCATACACACAAAATAAATAAAACCTAACAAAAGATAACTATTTTGATATTCATATCAAGTTGTAATAACCTAAACTTTTACAAAAAATAGCATAGATCTAATCAATAGTAAATGGTATATCAATACAATAATATATACTTAGCTGAAGCATGAAGAAATAAGAATCCCTCAGCACAACACCTCCCACAAACTCTAACATTAAACATAGAGTAACAATAACAGCAATTTTTCCTGAGTAGAAGTTTCTCCTGATAGCTCCCATCTGAACCATGGATGGTCTTGAAGCCCACTGGAGACCACCACTTCTACTGTCTTGGGAGTGAGGAAGACTTGTTCCTTTAAAACATTTCCTCTTCTCTAAAAACACCCAAATACAGTTTCTTGGTTTTGGTAACAAACTCGCCATTCACCACTGCACCTGTCCACATGGTCTACCAACCCTAACTTCCTCTGGTCTGTTTCTTTATTGAGCCTGGGGTCTAGCTTTGTTGTTCAGGTGAAACTCAGGATGCTAAACCCCAGGCTCCCTCCTCACCCCTTCCTCCTCTTTCCCTTGCCCCTTCACAGGCCAGCCTTTAATTTGTAGGTAAAGTCAACAGTTCCACGGATGACTCGCTCAGTGCTGTGCCTTCCAAGTCTCTGGTCTTTTGACTTCCTCACCTCAGCACGACAACCATACCCAGGCCCCCAGTCCTCCTTCCCACTCTACTGTCCCATCATTAGCCCACCAGCAAAAGTCAGCGGCCCTCCCTAAACTGTTTTATTTTAAGCATGCCGACACTTGGCTCCCCCTCCCACCCTTTCAGCTCATCTACACCAGTCACTTTCTTAGTACCCCCAATTCTGCTAACCTCATCACTCCTACTACCCGCCACCTTCCCCAAGGCCTCTCTCCTCTCACTTCCTGTTCGATAGGATTCCAAAGATCAATATTAAGCTGGCCTTACAGTATCCTCAATTCTCTTGTCAATTTCTTTAACTTTATTTTATTATCCCCAACCTGTGTGTGTGCGCGTGCGCGCATCCATGCATGTACCACGATGTTTATGGGAGGTTGGAGGCTAACTTTGTGGAGTTAGTTCTCTCTTTTCATCTCTATATGAACTCTAAGGGTCAAACTCAGGTCATCAGGCTTCAGCAGCAAGCACCTTTATCTACTGAGCCATTTTGGTGACCCTTAATTATCAATTTCCTGATCTGGTCTTCTTTTTTTCTACGATGTGACTAGATGTGAGATTTCTACTTACTTATTCTTACTGTCGGTGTCTGTGCCCCTGCCCATAGTCCCACAACAGTTTCTTTACTGGAGACATGACTGCATGTGGCCAGGCCATACAAGGCACTGGAGCTTCTGTAGTTCCCTCAATCACTTGCTCTGAAGAAGGGCATGTGAATTTAGAGGCCCATCTAGGAGCAGAGGCTAACAGATGGTACCAAATGCCAGCTTGTGATGGGACCCTTGGAGGTAGATGCCTTAACCTCACCAGCATCCTGTCCTCACCAAAGACTCCAAACCAGAACCACCCAGCTGACACCACACTGAATGCTGAGCTGTTGTCTACTGCTACTGCAGACACTAAGTCTTAGAGCAACCTGTGCACATCGGTAGACACTGAATATAATCCATATGTGTATTCAGTAAGCGTTCTAGTTCTATTCATCAGCATCGTCAGCAACTCAGAAGCTGTCTCAGCTCTTCTCATTTATTCTACTTTCCTTTCGCTCTAGGACTCCAGCGAAATGCGTCTTAGGCCTTCTCTTGGATCATCAAACTCTCACACATCTCTTTCTCCATTTTGCACATGCGCATTCTTATACCTGTGTGGGCTTGCATGGGAATGCCCCAGGCGGATGCCTAGAACACTCCTTAATTGCTCTTCTGCCTATTTACTGAGGCATGGTCTCTCATTCAAACCCAGTGCTCACTGATACATCTAGTTTGCTGCTTGCTCTGGGGATCCTCTGCCAACACTGTCTACGCCTAGATTTTTATGCAGGGCACCATGCCCACCAGACATTTAAATGAGCCTCCTTCTTGCCATCAAGCACTTTCCTCGCTAAGCCAGCTCCCCGGCTCCTCTCACGCGTCCTCTTCTTATTTGGTCTTCATTCTAACGAGCTTCTTCTGACCTCTCCGGCTCACTGGTTCTTTTTTTTTTTTTTTTTTTTTTTTCCTTCTCTTAGTTTTTGTTTTTTTGAGAAAGGGTTTCTCTGTATAATAAGCCTGGTTGTCCTGGAACTCACTTTGTAGACCAGGCTGGCCTTGAACTAACTGAGATCCACTTGTCTCTGCCTCTTGGGTGCTGGGATTAAAGGCCTGTGCCACCCCCATGCAGCCAGCTCACTGATTCTTTCTTTAGTCATTTCTAATCTTCTTTTAAACCACCCATAGAATTCTTCTTTTGGTTAGTATATTTTTCAGTTCTGAAATTGCTTAAATCTACTGTGTCACTTTTTATAATTCTGAGTTCCCTACCAAGATTTTTCCACTTCAGCTTTTATTTCTTAAATCATAAAAATATAGTTCCAGAAAGAAAGAACACATAGCTCCATTGTCTATTCTACTAATTCCAATAACTAATATTTATTCTGAGTGGTTACCATGGTAGTTTGAATGAAAATGGCCCCCTTAGGCTCATATATTTGAATGTTTAAGTCCCTAATTGGTGGAACTATTTGGGAAGGATTAGGAAGCATGGCCTTGTTGGAGGAGGTGTGTCATAGGGATGGGCTTTTGTTCTTCAAGACCCACCACTATTCCCAGTTAGCTCTTTTTCTTTGCCTCTCATTTGTGGATAAGGATGTGACCTGTCAGTGACTGCTCCAGGGCCATGCCTACCTGCTGTCCACTTCCCACCACAATGGCCATGGACTCACCCTCTGAAGCTGAAAGCCCCTAACTAATTCTTTCTTTTATAAGTTGCCTTCATCATGGCGTTTTATCACAGCAATAGAAAAGTAACTGAGACAGTCACCCGCATGTGTGAGTTTGAACTGCACTGTGGCATACACCCACAATTTCATCTACTTGGGAGGCTAAGGCAAAGTGGATCCCCTGAACCCAAATATAATAAAACTCTATAATGCTGGCCAGTGGTGGTGCACAACTTTAATTCTAGCACTTGGGAGGCAGAGGCAGGTGGATCTTTGTGAGTTTGAGGCCAGCCTGGTCTACAGAGTCATAGGACAGTCAGGGCTACATAGAGACCCTGTCTTGAAAACTAGATAGATAGATAGATAGATAGATAGATAGATAGATAGACAGACAAAACTCCATTAAAATGTAAACATTTATAAACATAAAGCAGATGCCCAACAATAAACAAGAACTTTATACACAACCAAGAAGCAAGTACCTGCATTGCAATGGGTCCTTGGGACATTTGAGAGCTGTAATTCATTCCCATCATGCCTTGCATATTGGGCTGCATGACAGAGACCATAGGAAATCCTTGCTGCTGCATTGGCATCAGGCCTGCTGGAAAATACCAAGGCTTTATTAAAGTCATGACCTATGGTTTGATGTGGGAGTGTCATATATCAATCTGTTGATTTCATTGGTTAAGTTATAATAAACCAGCTGCTTGGCCTCATGGCTTGGAACATAGATGGGAGGAGTAAACAGAATAGAATTCTGGGCGGAAGAGGAAGTGAGGTCAGACTCTGCTCTGCTCCCGGAGACTCAACAGCTCTGCTCTCTGGAGCAGAGACACCATGATGGACGGAGGCTAGAATCTTCCCGGTAAGCGCACCTTGGGGTGCTTACACACATCATTAGAAATGGGCTAGTCCAGGTGCGAGAATTAGCCTGTAAGGGCTAGAGTTCATGGGCCAAGCAGTTCTTAAATGAATACAGTTTGTGTGTTGTCATTTCGGGCATGAGCTAGCCAAGCGGCCAGGGTGTTGGGGACGCAGCCCCGCCGCTCATATTTCAACAATGGTTTATTTCCTTGAAACCACATCACCCAGAGACTTGCTCATTGAAAAGCTGCACAGTACAATGGAAAATGCACAAGGTCCTGATGAGACAGGCCTAACTAAGAATTCCATCATCTATTTAGCTATGTGATCTTGGGCAAGCTATAGAATTTCATCTGTTAAGTCAGTAGCTCTCAACCTGCAGGTCGTGACCCCTTTGGGGAGACTGAAACTACCCTTTCACAGAGGTTACCTAAGACCAACAGAAAACACAAATATTTACATTATGAGTCATAACAGTAACAAAATTACAGTTATGAAGTAGCAAAGAAAATAATTTTATGGTTGGGTCACCACAACATGGGGAACTGTATTAGAGGGTCTGTCTTAAGTGAAAGTAATAAATACTGGTTCTGCAGAACTTGAATGTGGATATGAAATGAGTGACTTGGCCTAAATATGGTACTCAGTCTTCACCACGAGCCCCAGTGATTCCTGCCCTCTGGTATTCATAAGCTTGTATCATTTCTTCCCATGTTGAGCTCATATTACTCAATAGGATTCTGTAGTGATGACAACATGTAACTAACTGCTCAGCCTCGTTCCTTTGGGACAGATCTGGTATGACTGAAGGGCTAGCCTGATCCTCCAGCCTCCATCTCCAAAGGCTGTAATCACAGGTGTGCCCCTGCACCTTGGCCCCAAGGCTAGTCCCTAGCTTCCTTCTTGCTTTCTGGGGAGCCACTGTTGCACTATAGGAACACTCAAGCTGTCCTTTGGGGAGTCCATGTGGAGAGCAGGGCCCCTCCAGAGAGGCAGCATGAGTCTGTCACCTTGGAAGCAGATCTTTCCAGTTCCTCAAACTTTCAGATGACTGCAGTTCTGCCTGACGGATTTACTGCAGCTCACAGGATGCTCTGAGCCACCCAGCAAAGCCACTCTGAGATTCCTGACTCATAGGCATGTTGCAAAATAACAAAATGGTGATTTTGCAAAGTTTTGGGGTCATCTGTTATATAACAGTGGAAAATAACACTGAAGACCATGAGCTCTGGAAGTCAAATGAGTGGGCTACATACTACCCATGGTACCTTGAGTGTTTGCTCACTCCACTCTGTCTGAATGTCTCTATGTCTGTCTCTGGAACTCTCTCTCTAGAACTCACTGTATAGCCAGACTGGCCTCTAAATCTTCTTGAGTGCTGGCACTGCAGCACTCCTGGTTCTTCTTAACTTTGTTCTGCAACTTCGCTTCTCAACTGCAAAACCATTTAGTGTTTATTACGTCAAAAACATGCTATTCTTCTTCCCTTTCCTTACGCGAACATTTACTCAAAGCAGCATATGGGAAGCATATGTGACATAGGAAAGTACTATGTACACTAGCATCTCCTAGGCTTCCCCAGTGAAACATTCCCAAGAGCAGAGAGGAACAAACGTACAGCCTTTGGGGTTTAGTAATCAGCAACCGTCTACCATACACAAGGAGCAGTTCCACATGCCTTGAGCATGACGGAGAACACGAACTCAGCTTGAGCACAAACTACACTCCAACTTTGATTTTACTGCGCCCTGCAATCTCATTGACTCTAGCAGGCATGTCCAACCTGTGCGCTGCATGCAGCTCATCTGAGGATAGTCATAATTGCAGCCCAACACAAAATTACTAGCTTACTTAACACCACAGGAACCATGTAAACACGTGATTGTGTGGCTCTTGAATGTGGACAATGCCAATGCTGAGAAGCTTTGCTTTCTGGGTTGTTTTGAGACAGTCTCCCTGGATAGACAGGCTGAGGCTGGGATTAAGAGTATGTGACATCATGTCTCACCCACTTTTTTCTTCTTTCTTTAGAAACAAACAACAACAACAACTAAAAACTAATATTTAACTTAAAGAAGGACAGAACTGTCAAGATGGACACTACCTGTAGTTCAGCACTGGGTAGGTTAGGGCAGGAGGATTGCATATTCAGAGGCCAAAATACATAGTCAGATGCTATTTCAAAAAAAAAACGTATACTAAGCAGCAAAGGAAAAGAACAGTGTACCGTATCTGTCTTGTTTTATCATTTGCATTCTATATTTCTTACTGCCTAGTGTCAGAAGCACATCTACACTTGCAGGGTGACAGCTAACAGAGTTATACTGCTCATTTAGTTTGTCCTGATTCTTGAGGGTCTATGGGAGGCATCATCCTAAGAACACAGCAATGAATAAAACCAGAGCTTCCTGCTATGGAAATCATGCTGTAATTGGAGACAACAAATAATAAAAACAAAAACAAATCCCTATAAGTCAGGTGATAGTAAGAGATGGGGCAAGAAAGAAAGCATAGTAATTAATGGGAGACAATTTCAAGAAAATACAGTGGTTGTTCTTCTGTGCCACGTGCCCAAGGACCCGAAGGAAGGGCGGGAGCTGAGCATCATAGGCAACTGAAAAAGGGAATCTCAAAGGACACTGAAGGCAACGACCGAGCAGTGTCCTGGATAACCTCAACGCAGTCACAGCTTTCCCTCTTATCTTCAGGGCCTAACGATCATTTCAGTTTTGAATGGCTGATTTGGGTATTGGTATAACATTGAAGGATAAAAGTGAACAAAGTGAAAACTAAGTTTTCTCTCCTTGTCTCTTGATCAAGCACACAAGGCGTTGTGGGCAATACTGCTGTTGTTTCCTTGTATAATTTTTAGAAATCATCTGTGCTTCAAGTCTTCAAATGATCAAAAGTCCACTCTAAAATACCTTTAAAACCCCTCATGCCAAACTAGGTGGTACATGACTGTGACCAGGCAGGAGGATCAGGAGTTCAAGGTTATCCTCAACTGACCCTTGGAAAACTGGCCTGCAACTCCACCTCTTCCACTGATGGAAACGTGCTCTGAGCTCCCTTTATCTTTTATCTCCTGGTGACCTAGGAGTTTTCTGTTTCCCCAAGGAGTGTACTATAGCCAGCCAGCACTGTGAGAGGGGCCACTTTTCAAAGGTAGCTGGAGGCTGAGGGGAGTAGAGGGGAAGATAGTGGAGCTGCTGAAGGGAGCAGAAAAAAACAAGACAAGTGTAGGCAAACTCTTCCCTCAATTTTTGTCTATAGCAGAATGGGTCAATATTTTATCCCTAACTCCAGTTGCGTTCAAGGTATGGCCAGAACTGATGCCGGTGATGCCGGCGGGCTTCAGTTCTACAGCCAAGAGATGGGTGCACTGAACAGAGACATTTCCAGGGATAAAACGGAGACTCAAATCTTTTTATTCTTTATTGAGATAGCATCTTGCTATACAGTCCAGGTTGACTCAAACTCACAACCCTGCCTCAGTCTCCCAAATGTTAGAATTAAAGGCATATGCCCCCATATCTGGCTGAGACATAAATACTTTTCTTTCTTGAGACAGTCTCACTAAGTAGCCCTAGCTGGCCTTGAACTCAGTTTGTGACTAGCCTCAAATTTAAGAGATTGGCTTAACTCTTCTTCCCAAATCCTGGGATTAAAGGTGTATATTACACTAGTTTGAGACTTAAAGACTTTTAAATCGGAATATCAGATCTCTTTTATGTGCATCATTATAATAAGACCACTACATATGGAAAAAGCATACATGAGATATTAAAGAGGTTTGTTTATTCATTCAACAAACATCACATGGAATCTACCATAACACTCAGGCAGGGTGCTGGAGACACTGGGGAGCGAGATAACAGCTCCTGTCCTCTGGCACAAAGGAGGCAGAGACCAAACAGGAAGACAAGAGAAGGACAGCTTGTATCAGTGTCATCACTTGTTCTTTCTGTCCTGGCCCTGAAAAGTTTCCCTTCTTAGCCGAGGTTAAATAGCAACCTACTGATATAATGGGTTAGTAAGTTTGGGAAACATTAAGAGTGATTCCTTCACTCCCCAAATTAAACTTTTTTTCTTTTTCTTTTTTTTTTTTCTTTTTTGTTTTTCAAGATGGGGTTTCTTTGTGTAACAGCCCTAGCTGTCTTGGAACTAGCTCTTGTAGACCAGGTTGGCCTCAAACTCACAGAGATCCATCTGCCTCTGCATCCCAAGTGCTGGGACTAAAGGCGTGTGTCACCACTTCCCGGCCAAACTTTTTTAAAAGAAATTTTAAGAGAAGGTGTCATACAAAGTTAGGACTATAGAATAATTTTACTTCATTGGGCAGCAATATAACTTATCTTCTACTTAGCCATTTAATTTCTAAGTTCAGAAACAGTGAAAAACAGCTTAGGTTTGGGGCTGAGGATGTGGTTTAGGAGCAGAGTGCTTGCTTAGAATGTGCGAGAACCTGGGTTCCATTCCAGGACTGACAGAGAAATGTTAGCTCTCACATACCTTGAGGGGGTCTCATTCCACCTGCAACAGGAAACATGAAGCTGAAACGAGAATACAAAAATACATCAGTATCTTCATCTGTTTTAGATTTCAAACAAAACCTGATTCTCACCTGAAGGAAAGAACCAGACAGAGCCTGGGATCAGGTCAGTAGCACAATGCTGACTTACTATTTAAGTTTTTTACATGTATGTTTTGCCTGCATGTTTGTCTTTGCATTGCATGCATGCCTGGTGCTCACAGAGGCCATAAGAGGGTGTTGGATCCCCTAGGACTGGAGTTTCAAAAAGTTGTGAGCTGTCACATGGGTGCTGGGACCTAAATCCAGGTTCTTGGCAAGAGCAGCAAACATTCTTAACTGCTGAGTCACCTTTCTAGCATGAGAATTACTAATATTAATAAAGACCAAATTTCCCATGATACAAAGTATCGGTTGCTAATGTGGAAGGAACTTTGGGGTGTGCAAAAAAGAAAACAGACAATCCTGACATTATTCTTGACTCTGTCACCTGTGACTTCCCTTGGTTCAAAATTCTCCAAACCATGAAATGGGAGGGCTGGATTCACGTCCATTCAGTGAACATTTAATGAGCATCTACTGTGTGGAAGACTGAACTAGTTAGCAATCTTGAATACACATCAGACCAAGAAAGGAAAACTCTCGACTGGGAAAGTCTCTCAATTTCAGAGTCAGACTTGAGAGTTTCTGTGCAGCATAGCGAGCACCAGGAACTCTGTCAAATTCAGGAGCCTTTGCGTTTTACTACATTGGTCCTCCCACTCCCAGGACAAAGCCTGAAACTCAACTTCAGAGCCCATGGTTCTAAAGCATCTTAGTGTTTTGCTTTGTTTCTTTTTAACTGCAAGGCGCATTACCACTCTAGCTGGCCATCCATCTGGCTGTGTATTACTTATGGTTTTTGTAGAGGGACTGGGTCAGTGAGTGAATCTTGCTGCTGACAAGCAGGCCCCAAGAGTAAGCCCTCTCTATGGCATACAAAAGGCCATAAATAGCAGAGCTGTGTGTTAAATGGTTTTTGTCTGTTAAGATGTAACGTCTAGGCTCAAGCCTTCCTCCTGCCTCATCTCCTGAGCAGCTAGGACTATAGCTGTGTGCCTCCATGCTAGGCTCTGCTCACTGGACAAAATGTCTGAGGTGAAGAAGCGCTCTGGCTGTTGTCTGTTTTACAAGGCGTCACTAACACACCAAGATGGATAAACTTGGTAAAAGGGATACAGCTGAGTAGTCAACTTGTCAACTTTGTCAAACCAGTTGTGAAAATCCAAATCACCAGTATGGCGGAGCCAAGTGAAAACCTGGAGTGAGTTGTATTCTCTTTTACCCAGTTTTAATCCTCTTATTATCTGCTTGTCCCTCTGTCAAGTGAGGATACAGAACCCAACATTTGTCAAGGTCCCAACTAAGGTAACCACAGAGACAAGATATAACATGTGTCACAGGGTGAGAGAGATTGTTAGTGAGCTGCTCTTGTGGAAGACCTGGGTTCAATTCCTAGCATCCATACGTTGGCTAACAGTCACCTGTAACTACATATCCAGGGGATCTGTCACCCTTTTCTGATCTCCGAGTGCACCAGGTTATGTGTGTGGTGTATATATACATGCAAAAACCCTTATACATTAATAAATCTAAAAAATGATTTTTAAAATAATATCTATTATAGATAAATAAAAGCTACTTAAAATAAACACATATAAGAACAAAGCAAGTGTACTGATAAATGACTTATTATAGTAAAAATGTAACAATCCAAAGTTGCTTAGTGACCCCTATCTTTTTATGACTGAAATATTTAGATAACTAATTTTTTCCCCTGTGATTCTGTGTGTGTAGACTCGAATTGGCCAGAAGAGGGCATCAGATCCCCTGGAGCTGGAGTCACAGCAGATAGGAGCCTTTATTCCCAGCAAGTGCTGGGAATAGAATTCGGTCTAGAAGAGCAGCAAATGCTGTAACACAGCCATCTCGCCAGCCCCATCATTCCTTTTTGTTACATTTATGTGTGTGTGGGTGGGCGGGGTGTGTGTTCATATGGAGGTCAAAGGACAACTCGGGTCATTTCTCTCTGTGCCTGTGAGTCCTGGGATTGAACCAAGGTCAGGAGGTTTGGCAGCAAGCCCCACCCGCAGCCAGGCCCTGACGACTAATTCTAAGTATGGCTAGACAGCAGCTAAGTCCAGGTACGACAGCAAAGCCTGAGGGAAGGACAGGGCTGGGGTGGGTTATAGGGTGTGCCTGACAGCAAAGCTTCCAAGAAGGCTGAGTTGCTAAGTCTTCAACCTGGAGCTCTGCTTGTCACAAGCCTTTGCTACCAACCTACATTTGCTACCCTTGCTTTCGTGTCTCAAGCCTGGCCTCTGAGGTACAGTCTTCTTTATGGATCCTCTCTGCCTCAGACTCTGGTTTCTAACACCTCTAATACAGCACTGGTGAGAGGCATCTGCATAAGCAGCCCTTCAGTAAAGAGCCTGTCAGAAGATGCACACCTGGGCTTAAAAGGGTGCGATTCCTCTGACAGGCAGAGCTTTCCCTAGGTTAGCCTCATGGCCTTCTCTGACTAGGCAGACCTTTCCCTTCCTTCTTACCTCATGAAACTCTTCTTGGACCCACCAGCAGCCTACTGGCACTGCAGATGTGTTTGCTGCTCCCATAGTGCTTGCTATCCCCACCCCGCTCCACACGGACAATCTCAACTCCTTTCTCTTCCTTCCACCTCTTGCTCGGTGCAGCTGAAAATCAACTTCACTATTGTCCATTTTGGTGGAACCCACAAATATTTACATTAAAAAATATGCCAGGCTAGGCAAGAAACTGCAGAAGATGGAGAGACAACGCACTCACGGAGCTTGTAAGAGAGCAGGGAAACAGAGTGCTAAAGCTACTTGTGCACACACAGTTCAAGCACTGGGACACGCCTAGAGTCTTTTGAACCCATCAGAGAGCATCAAGAACAATAATGCTTAGCTGAGTGCGGTATCGCCCACAATCCTAGCACTAGTAAGACAGAGGCAGACATATCACAAGTCTGGCTACCTTGGGCTATATGTTGAGTTCAAGATCAGCCAGAGTTAAATTAATAAGGCATTGTCTCAAAACAAAGGACATTTTCAAAACAGTACTTTACACATACAGACATTTAATAACCATAACCAGGGTCACACTCATTCAGATTTTTTCAACTCTGCTGCTTTACTTGGCTAAAGGCAAATTTTGCATTTGTATGTCCCAAGTATTTACTCTAGGATACCCCATTTCATGAATTGGTCAAAAGCCTGTTTGCATGTGGCTGCCTTTGACCCGCCTTTTAGAAGACTAAGTAGCTAAAAGAAAGTACTCAAGAAGTGGCATTTAAGGCAGAAGAAAGGCTACAAAGTTCTAGTTTGTGATGCTTTTCAGCCAAAGGTTTAGAGTGTGCTAGTTTTTGGTTTTCTTCAAACATATTATGCTACAATGTTAGTTTTCTTATCAGATAACTTTAGCTCTTAGCATTGCTTTCCCCAAACCAAAGTATCCCTGAGTATATAGTTTCTCAGTCTAACAAAGTACCTAATAAATGTAGCAACACATGCCTTTAAGAGGCCCAATGTAGCCGCTTTTCTGTCCCCTATGTATTTGGTACCAGCTGGAGTGCATACACGTTTGTTGTTCTTTTTTTTTTTTTTAGATTTATTTATTTATTTATGTATACAGTATTCTCAGTACTCTGCCTGCAGGCCAGAAGAGGGCACAGATCTCATTACAGATGGTTGTGAGCCATCATGTGGTTGCTGGGAATTGAACTCAGGACCTTTGGAAGAGCAGGCGGTGCTCTTAACCACTGAGCCATCTCTTCAGCCCCCTCGTTTGTTGTTCTTGTTCTTTTCCCTAAGATAGGATCTCAGGGTGCCAGGCTGACCTCAGACTCTCCAGGTAGCTGAGGATGTCTTTGGTCTCCTGATCCTTTTGCCTGCATCTCCCAGAGCTGGTATTATAGGCATGCACCAGCATACTTGGACCTGTGACGCTAAAATACTATAAATCAAACCAAGGGATGCCCTTAACTTTCTGTACTTGTGATTCCTCCTATTCTTTTTTTCTTTAAATAAAGAAAACATTTGTGCCTAAAATATAAAATCCTTTCAAAATTCCTATAACTGGTCCTATTTTTTTAAATCATACATTTGATTAGACTAAAGCCATTTAAGAACATTTAGAAATTGTTACCATGTATATATTTATATTCCCCAGGCAAAAACAATTTATACTGACCACTCATGGAAAAACCCTAATGAAACTGTTACAAAAACAAAGGAGGAAGCAAAACATTTTCAAATCAAAGATACAAAGAGGAAGTGGAAAACCCAGCCACACAGGGTTGGTTTATTCAAGTGACTGCCTTTTTCCTAGCACGCATGTGTGTGGATATATATAACATATATGCACCTGTAAGGGTGGCAACTTTAAAATCCTTTACACGTTTGGAGTGTAAGTAATTCCAAATTAAACTACATGTGGGTAAAAAAAAAACAAACACTTTGCTTTCCGAAGATAACTTGGGATATTTAAAAATGAAAATGTGTGTGCTGTATATGTTAGCTAATTAAACTCAGATTAAGTCATGATAAAAACGGGGGTGCAGACTTTCTGGAATCAAACATTTCGCTAAATTATAATAAACTTAAGTTACAAATGCCCCTTTACCACTCTGGATACAGGAAGCACAGGCTAATAATTATCTGCAATATAACAAAGGGCAGATTTTTTTTTAAAGAGCTCAATAAAGTCTGGAAGCTTTTGTTGTAACAAGAGATCACCGCTTTTGCTCAGTGAATTCTTTGTTTCAAAATGTCTTTTTTAAAAAGGAGACAGTCAAGTGTAGAGTCAATCTACAAGACAAGCTCTATCTCAAGACAATTACTAATTCAAAGGTCTTCAGGTTTTCCTATTTGTACGTTTAGAAAAGAAAAAGGATAGGACAGGACGCTCTAGAGGAGGAAAGACAATAACTGCAGACACTCTCAGAAAGGCTCCTGCAGCTTTGTGACCAGGCTGTCACAGCCTTCGCTCCAACAGTAGCTCAAGCCCAAGCCCAAAAAGCCTGGAAGGGAAACGCGGGCGCTCGAGGCCCCGCGACAGGTGCGGCGGCGCCTGCACAGGAGCGCGCTCCCCGCGGGTCCCCAGGACGCCCGCGCCCCGCAACTGCCGCCCGTGAGCCCGGCCCCACCTGCCCATCCCGCCGACCCACCTGCCGGCCCCGCCGGTCCCGCGCCCCGCCCCGCCGACCCACCTGCCTGCCCCGCCGGGCCCCGCGCCCGCCCCCGCCGCGCCGCTGGCTCCGGCTCCCGGCCGCAGCGCCATCTTGCTCGGGCCGCCGCCGTGCCAGCAGCTGTCAGCCGAAGACAGGCACTTCCGGGGCAGACACCGCCCCACCAAGCCGGGGCCGACGACGGGGCGGGGCCGCGCTTCCACGTGACTCCAGAGCCCTCGGGCACGAGCGCCCCCCCCCCCCCCCCCCCCCCCCCCCCCCCCCCCCCCCCCCCCAGTCGATTCCCTTTGCAAACGCGGGTCTGCATCAGTGCAGGGTCAAGTCCTGATTTCTGAACGGGATGACGGAGCACAGGTGCGCTTTTGCCGTTCCTTTACACAATAGGCGGCCTTTTGATGGCTTTACAGCTGTTTGCCCTGGCACTCTTTGCAGAATCCATCACAGGCACTGACGGCATTTAAAATTGCCTTTAGGAAACCAGCCAAGAGCACACGAGTCCAGTACACATGAAAAGGATACCTTCCAAGGTGCACTACTCTTGTGTGAGTCTGCCATCGTGTCAAGTAGTTTTCCCTTTCCTAGCAAGGTGAAACAAGCACAAATGTGCTGAACCTACGCAGGGGATGTTTTTACCTTGACACCTCCACCCCTAATCAAGCTTCACGGAAGGAAAACGTGTTGGGAGTAAACTTTGCCAAGCTCTTAGATAATTACAGTCCGGTCTCTGCCACGGCTTGCCGTACAGCTTTCACCGACAAACTCCTAATAGGCTACTTGTTACTAGTCAACAACAGGAATTTTGCCGCTATGAGTTGTTATTGCTATTTTAGAAATGAGAAAAATCAGTCCTGAAAGAAGTTCATGTGATATGCCTAGATCTTAGAGCTACAAGCAGCAAGACCAGGATTCAAATCCAGGACAGCCTGACTTCAAAGTCTGCTTCTTTACCTAGTACCATGCCAAGTATTTGTGGGATCGTTTTGCTTATTGTTTGCTCTGGACTCTTCGCTGTCTTCTTCCTTGGACAAAGCTAACATTTATGTAGCAGAGTCCTGGAATCTTCACTGACCCTTTGACAAAGCAAGCTGTGTGTTAGAGCTACTACAGGGATCAGGTGGTTGCTCAGCAGTGAATAAAGAGAACACAGGAGATTAGGAATTGTCCCCATCTGAGTTAGTCCTGCTCAGCTGCTTCAGGATCACAGCCTTACCACACAATTTGTTCCTTGTCCTTCATCACTGCATTCCTTAATTAATTGCAAGAATGGTGCTGTCAGCAAGCCCTGTGTTCCTAAAAATTAATGTTTGCTGAAGGGATATTTGTTGTGAGTTTACAAAGCTTCAGACACAGAGCGACTTTCAATGTTGAAATACAGGAGACACTAAAGAACACAGTAGGCAAACAGTTCCAACAGTCTACCCACTTCCAGGAGACACACTGACTTGGAGATCTGCAAGAATAAAAACTATGTACTTTCATTTTCCACTCCCTGGAGCAGTCAGCCTATTTAGGTGAATTCTGATGAAAAAACAACAACAAAAACTTTGTCCCATCTATTCACGATAGTCTCCTCTCATGTCTGTATTCTCAGCAGTAAAGGGGCTGAAACAGGATTGCTGTGGGTTCAAGGCCAGTCTGGGCTTCTCTAGACAAATTCCTATTAAAGATGTCTCGCGTGCTGACTTTAGAATGAAGCATCAACTGCTGAGTTTAACTCAAATGCCGGCAGTCGTCTGCACTGTAGTCCTGTGGCAGCACAGATCCCGTGCAATTCTAGGCACCAGTTTGTGCTCCAACAGGCATCAAGTCTTTTTGAATCCCACTGTACAAAAACAGGCAATTAAGGAAAACCTGCGCATTGTGCACCACCTTGGTCTGCAAATGATCGCACTGCTTTGGCAGAGGGAGGATGAAGGCTATCAATACTTAGCAAAGATAAGCCTCTGGGAAAGTGGAGCCAGGTATATCAGTTAACAGGACTGCTCTTCCTTATCAGGATAAAGCACTGTTATCAGCTTTCATCTTGAATGGAAAGAGACAGGAAAAGAACCCGGTTAAAAGATGGAGAATGAAGTCAGAAAGGGAGAGGCCGATCATAATCTCATAGTTGCAACACTGTGACAGCTAACTATGAACTTCCTTCCCAGTGTGCTATAAGTAAATTTCAACAGACTGAAGTTTCCAATCCTCAGGAATTGGCTAGCCATAGGTAAGGCACCTCCTTATTGTGGTTCACACCATAAAGGCCGTTAACCATAAAGAAACACTAAGGGGAGCACTAGGCTTCTTCCTAGAGCACGGCCCGTGTTGCTCTCATCTGCATCCCACACACGACACTCTACACACACACAAGGGTGGATGGTACATTCAAGCTCAAGATTTTATTTTAAAATTCTGGTCCATATGCCTCTCCACAGCATGCATCACACTGGAAGGGCAAAATCCTTAAGAGTTCACCACTTTGGGTGTTATCTTAACATCAACTCTCGTTCTTCTATAAGAAGTATCTCTCCGGCCGGCTTCAGGCAGAAAAGTCGATGCACGTTATTTCCATTGCATAAATTTCACCTACAAGGTGAAGCTTGTCCTGATGCATCAGTAACTTAGGACCACTTTCTTTTCTCACGTCTTTGTTGATTTAATACGTTTGCTAAAGATGGTTGTTAAGTAATCCATGAGAATTCATGCTGGGCTCATAAATTACACTGTGTGGATAGCCTTCTAAGCTATCTATTTTTAACTTTTCTCTTCAAGAGTTTCTTTCTTCTTGCTGTTTTGGCCAGCAACATTTTTCCTGTGAATAGGAAGACATGTTGAGACAGCAACTCTATATACATTTACTTCCATAACCGAGGGCATAAATGAACATGTGCTGAAAGTTATTACACAGCAAAGCATATGAGGCACTGGGAACAAAGATATTAACCAGTTCTCTGTTCAGCATAAAAATCTCTGTCCATATGAGAAATATCACAACCAACTACACTGTTACCTAGCAAGGGACAGTCTGGTCTTGACCTGTTGGTCAAGACATTGCTGTTAGGTGTTCTTTGTGCATGCATTTGTTGTGGGATAATGCTCTTGTACACTATAAAAATTTGTCACTCATATTGGTTTAATAAAACGCTGTCCAATAGCCAGACAGGCAGTATAGGCAGGGCAGCTAGACTAGAAGAATTCTGGGAAGAAGAAAGGCAGAGACACAGTCACCAGCCAGATGCAGAGGGAGCAAGATGAGAATGCCTTACTGAGAAAAGGTACCAAGTCACAATTTAAGTTGTAAGAGCTAATTAATAATAAGCCTGAGCAACAGGCCAAACAGTTTATAATTAATATCAGCTTCTGCATGTTTCTTTGGGACTGAATGGCTGCGGGATCAGGTGGGACAGAAACTTCTTCAGTCTACATGAATTAACTCAAGGGAGCTTCCTAACAACCTACTACTCTCCTTCTCCAAATAAAATAATAAGGTGGAATGTATAAAAACTTGCTGGTCATCACACATTATTAATAAATATTAGGCATAAACACTGACAGTCTGATCCTACAGCCCAGTGAATGGTGAATACATTTGCTAGTGTTAATAAAGAAAAAGGAAAAACTTTGAGACAATAAACAATACTTACACACTACAGTAAGAAGTTCTTTGGAATGTTTGCACATGTAATTCTTGGATCAACTAACACCAAGAACAAAGTCTGTACCTTGAATGAAAGCATTTCCATTATATAATGGGAATAATACTTGAAAGACAAGTAACTTGCCCAAAGTTCCCATTAGAATCGATTTTTAGGCTCCAAATCCAAATCTGGCCCTCATCACACCAGGCTGGGTTGGTTCATAGTGCCTGAAGTGAGGCCCTCTAGACAACAGGGTATCAGGTTCCAAGTTTAATGTGGAAGCTGAGCTGAAGACAGGAACTTTTATGCCCCAAAGCAACCCCTATCTGTAATGATCATGGTGGATCTTGTTCTTATGCTAAGGACAGCCTTTAAGTTAAATTAAACAAAGAATGCCAAAGCACCTTAACTGTGTTGCTAGTACCCCAAGACTGACACCAGTACCCCAAACTCCTCTTGTAGCTAAGTTAATTAGCCCAGAAGAATGCTATAAACATAGGACATTTAAAAGCCAATTACTCAAAATAGTGTTTAATCTAAATTAAAAAAAAAAGATACTGCTGCATCCTATTAAATTTCAACAGCCTCCATCTTCTTCCCCAGCTGACCTTCAGCCTCTAGAGAAACCTCCTTCACAGCTTCCACTCAGTGCCAGGGTCAGCATGTGTTATCTTAGCTCTCAGCTATCCCAAGAAGTAAGAATATATATACTGCATGCCAAATAGTCCTCATGACACTCTAGACAAAGTCCATGCGACACAAAAACTGTACACACTTGCGTGATCACAAACAGACACAAGCCTTACATTATATTAGAATTCATAAAACTGGGAAAGTACCAGTGGAATTTAAACTATTAAACTTCCAAATCTTTACAAGTTTGTGGTGTTTATTCCTCCACGTTAAATCTTAGAACACAAGAAAGCTCTGGGACACTGTGAGCTGTTAACACCTGGAATGAACATCATTTCCACAGTACTAGACTGTCATGCAAGACTCCTATTCTGGGGGCTGGAGAGATGGCTCAGTGGTTAAGAGCATTGCCTGCTCTTCCAAAGGTCCTGAGTTCAATTCCCGGCAACCACATGGTGGCTCACAACCATCTGTAAAGAGGTCTGGTGCCCTCTTCTGGCTGCAGACATGCACACAGACAGAATATTGTATACATAATAAAGAAATAAATATAAAAAAAAAAGACTCATTCTGTTTACAAGGGCGGTCCACACAGCTTCCTACCTAAGATCCTCTAATGTTCTCACATGGCTTGTTTTATAGTCTCTATAACACCACCACCACGTGTTTGCCTAATGGTTTAAGGTAATGGAAGGAAGCATTAGCTTAGTTCACCAAAGCATCCCAGGACACTAAGGGCACTCTCAGGAACACAACAAGAAATCACTAGTTCTAGTACCAAGAAATTTGTGAAAAGTACTATTTCTTTATCTAGAGTAATGGAGCTCAGAATATTCTGGCAAATTCCTACCACAACATGTAGCTTCCTAGCACTAAAAGACAAAACATACCTGTATGTATC